GTGGTGGCTAATGTTAGATCTATAACTTCCTGCCTTTGTGTGGTCACAAAAGTAGGCCTGTTACCTTTATTCATTACGTCTAAATTATTTGCCATAAAGAATTGCAGCAGAGCTTCGCCTCTAGGGTTTGTGTCTGTGCTTCCCCAGAGAGTGTGGTGCGGATTTGCGTCCGAGCCAATGATCAACTGAGATCCATTTCCTCTGCAGTACCTCACTAGCTCTTCCACAGTCTCTGGTGGTGGTGGATCAGGGTCATCGAAAGGAAGATAAGCCGATCCGATTATAATGTCCTTCGGCCCTTCTCCGTTCGTTTTTATGTGTACCGCTGTCAGATCATTGTTACAGAATTTTAGTAAGGGCAGTACTTTTATGTGTGTTTTAATTAGTATGCAGGTCCTAGGTCTGTCAGAGGTTCTACTGTATATAAGTTCCACCCCGACTCCCTTGAGGTCTTTTATTTGACCCTGGTTTATCCAGGGTTCTTGTATCAAGGCAATGTCACAGGTCTCCATTACCTTACAGAGGACAGCCGTAGCTGCCCTACTGTGGTGCAGGTTCGCCTGGACGACCCTCATTTCGAGACTCAGCGCCCTTCAGTGCCCGGAAGAAGACCCGTCCGAGCTTATAGTAAGCCTAGAACTGGGTCTGCTCAAGGGCACTAAAAGACGCTAAGTCGATGGAGAAGGCGATGGTTTGGCCATTCTTCTCCACCTTCCTGCTTAGTGTAAGCCAGTCTCCCACATTAAGCTAGGGTTTTGACGCCCAAGCCAGGTCCTGACTTCACTTTCCTCGACTGTCTCTGGTATCCAGACGAGGACTTTTGGTCTCTTAGGAAGGTCCTTAGAGTTGACCGTAGTCAAGTCCGCCCCTTCCCAGAGATTGTTTAAGCCGGCTACAGTATGCTGCAGCCATTCTTTGGTGAGGTCGTTGGCACATAAGATCCAACTTCCCTTTCGGGATTCTCCGGAACATTTTTTTTTTCTCTTCCGTAAATTTACCATAATATATTTAGTAAAAAATGATGCCACGTCACTCGACTTCTTCTGAAGCTGATGCGTATTAAGTAATCGATGTAGTTAGAGGAAACGATGAACGACCAAGAACATTTTAATCTAAGTAGTTTTTTGAACAGGTGGGAGTCTCAGTGCGTGGGTGATTAGTGTTTTTATAATTTAAAGGTAAGTATATTATATTAATTATGTTTGTATGTAGTTTCTGCAAATATAAAGCCAGCACTCTTTAAAAATAAATATAAAGAAGGAAAGAACTAACATGATACTCAAGAAAAACCACAAGAAATGGGTAGCCCCTGAAAATAAAGATTCTTATAAGGAATGTATAGCCTCAAATCTAAATTATGAAAATACTACTACGATAGACGAAATATACGAAAACATCAAAGGGGCCACTCAAACAGCTATCGAAAAATTTTGTCCCAAAAAAGTAAAAGAACAAAAACTGAATCAAAGAACAAAACTTTTAATGAAACAGAGAAGAGATATGGAGTACACAAGAATATAGAACTTTAAACAGAGAGATATCCAAAGAAATCAGAAAGCGTAGGAGGCAACAGAATACGGATAAAATTAGGAACGTCATAGAGAAGAATCAAAGTTTGAAGGTATTGAGAAATAGTAAAATGGGAAGAAAAGAAATACAAAAGATCAAGGACATGCACGGCAACATAGTAACACACAAACAGGAAATCCTACACTCTATTAAATTTTTCTATCAAGAACTTTACACATCAAAACAGCAAGGGATCAGAACCGACATCCGAAAGGTAATAAATCAGGGGTCGAAAGAAATTCCAGAAATAACCGAGGAAGAAATTATCAGTGCCCTTAGAGATATGAAAAACAATAGAGCTGCCGGCGACGATGGATTGGTAATAGAGTCAATCAAAGAAGGAGGACCAAAAATCATCAAAGCTTTAAATCTCCTATTTAATAAATGCATTGAAGAAGAAATAACCCCATCACAGTGGAACAACGCAACCATCATTAGTGTACACAAGAAAGGTGACGTTACTGACCTTAAAAACTATAGGCCCATCAGCCTTCTTAGCCACGTATACAAATTATTAACTAAAATACTCACCAAGCGTTTGACAAATAAAATAGACTTTTTTCTTTCGAGCGAACAAGCAGGTTTCCGATCAGGTTATGGAACAAATGACCATCTTCTAACAGTCAAGGTCCTTATCGAGAAATGCATTGAGTATAATAGACCACTCATGCTTGTATTCGTGGATTTCGAGAAGGCCTTCGATTCGGTAGACCAGTGGAAGCTTCTAGAGACACTAAGTGAGAGTCGTATCGATCATCGATACTCCTCAATCATAAGACATATGACAGATATATATAATAATGCCACGGCAAACGTCAGAATATCGACAAATCAATGCACAGACAACTGTCCCCTAAACTATTCGTTGCTGGGCTAGAAAGTATGTTAAAAATGATAAACTGGGATTCAACAGGAATTGACATCGATGGCAAATTGATAAATCATCTCTGTTTTGCAGATGACATTATTTTAATAACAGACAACATACAGGAGGCACAGAATATGCTGGATATGCTGAATGATGCTTCGGAAAAAGTCGGTTTGAAAATTAACTTGTCAAAGACACAATACATGACAAACCTAGTACTAAGTGGAAATTTAAACATTAATAACATACCTTTGGAACAAGTGCATATATATATATATATATATATATATATATATATATATATATATATATATATATATATATATATATATATATATACCCACGAAATTCTACGAAGAATAGGTTTGTCGTGGGCGGCATTTGGCAAACTAAGGCATATACTGAGATCTGATATTCCCATATGTTTAAGAAGAAAGATCTTTAACCAGTGTGTCTTGCCTGTCCTCACGTATGGAGCTGAAACGCTTACTTTGACAAAAAAGAACATACATAGAATACAGGTGATGCAACGGAAAATGGGAAAGGTCTATGTTGGGAGTTACACTCAGAGATAAAATACCTAATCCTACAATACGAAATCGAACAGGAGTAAGAGATGCGGTGATATCTGTCTTACATCTTAAATGGAATTGGACAGGACATGTGGCTAGGATAACAGATGGACGGTGGACAAAGAGACTTGTGGAATGGAGACCGAGACACGAGGCCTATAGAAGCAGAGGACGACCTCCTAGTCGATGGACAGATGACATTAAGAGAGTGGCTGGAAACTGGATTCAAGTGGCACAAAATAGAAGGAAATGGCTGGAGTTAAGGGAGGCTTTTGTTCAGCAGTGGACGGTATAAGCTAAATGATGATGATGATGATGATGATGATGACTCTTAGAAAACAACCTCCATTTATTATAATTATTTGCATTATAATTTTAGCGATACTTTTATGTAAATATAATTGTTCCATGTGTGTCTGTGATATATCTATATCAACATATCTCTAAGTACATTATTTATTATTCCAGACTGTGTTTCGGAGGACAAATTTAATAGAGGACCGGAGTGCAGGACTCTAACCTAAACCTAACGTATATAATGGCAATTTTGGTTAGGCCAACAGAAAAACCAGAAGAACTCCATCCACAGAATCAAATCCATCAAGTGGCAGGACACTTGGCAAGAAGGACGCCTAACAGATAGACCATAAAAATTACAGCATGGTACCCATGAGAAATTAAGAGACCTAGAAGAAGACCGAACCCGAGATGGGACTATGATATTAGAAAATTAGCAGGGATAACTTGGATCCGCATAACCAATAATAGGCAAAAATGGACCCTACTACAAAGAGAGTATCTAAGTATGTGAGGGAGGGCTACACCATAATTGGAAATGGTTGAGTAAGCTGAAAATAATAACTCCAAAAAAATCGTAGCCCTGTATTCAAACAGAATAATGTCACTGGCGAATTATTCAAACAGACGCGTTTCATTTCGGTGGAAAAATAATGAAAAAAAACCCCGTCGCGCGGCAGTCACCGAAGAAAAAAGATGAAACAAAACGGGAAAAACTAGAGTTGAAAAAATAAAATCGCCGCGAGTACAGATTCGGTGAGTCGGGCAAATATAACGAGCGGCTCGCTCTATAAATCAGCTGAATATGAGCTATGGAAAAAGTTGAAAAGTTTTTGTTGAAAAATCCGTTCCCCGCTACGTGTCTCGGGGGTTGTTTTGTCCCCTTTTTGTTTTTTTTTGGTCCATTGTATGGTTGTCTGTGCGACTGTTCGCCGAGATTTTTTTTAATTACTCATCGTCATAAATCATTTTAAAGTTTTTTGTGTGTTTGCTGGAGGTATGTACTAAGTTTGCATTTTTTTAAATTTGTGAAAAATGTCATCAACAAGAGTGTATGAGTTTAACAAAAAATTAGTGATTTGAATTTTTTTTTACAATAACAATAATAATTTTATACCGGATCGGCAAGGTCTGGCTTTAGGTCCCGATTTTCGTGTGTACGAAGAGTACAGTCACTACACTCAGTACAATAAGATGACTGAAGAACGGGCACCTTAAAATTTTGATGTATTTTAAAGTTTTTTTCCATAGTTTTTTTATATATTTTTCCAACTGTTTTCAAACGTTAATTAATAAATTAACGTTTTTAAAAATAAACATTAATAAGTTATTCGGGATTTAAATGGAAGTATTTTGGATATGACATTTGTCGTCTCAGCCTGAATATCTGTTGGAAATTTTCGTATTTCGTTTTGAGCCATTTCTGGCTCCAATTCAATCAGCAATCGACGCGAAAGAGAATTAAAAAATATTGACTCAAAACTGACTAAAAAGACAGCGTTATTTATTTGTAAAATTACATAGAAACCAACGCCAACCCAGCCCAATATTTTTTCTACTCGTAATAAATTCTTTTAAATAATCATTTCTGAATATTTTTTAAAACGTAACTCGCTATGGAAAAAATATTGTTTTATACACGACGATAAAATTGCATTATCATCTCCCGAAATTAACATTATAATAAGACTTACCATTAAAGAAATTGTTGCCATTAATGCTAAATGTTTAGTTTACAGCATTACCTGAAACAGAACAAAACAATTAGTGTTACGTATATTTTTATTTCCTGTAAACTTTAAGTCTAAATCAAAATTGTAATTAGTAAGAAATATTAATAACCTCTGTAAATATACCCTTACCAACTAAATAAGGGAACCTTAAAGTTTTCAGGTAATTTAAAATTCAATACATTTTGTTCTAGTAGACAGATTTTGGTTTAGACAATTTGTAGATAAATTATTTCACTATTTAGAGAAATAATCTAATAGAAATCGCTAATAAAAAATAGGGGTTGACGGTAGAAAGGTAAAAATTTAGGGTTGTATGTATTTTTTAATGTAAAAAAAATAAAAAAAAAATGAGGTGGACCACTTAGGAGTATAAGAAATAGATAACAACCTATTCTTAGACCTATTGAATATACATAAAAAATTTCATCACAATCTAAAACTGTGACACAAGAATTTTATGTATTAGATTGATATGGTGAATATCATCGATCGTCATTTCCAAGCCAACTGGACACCGTTTTTTTGTCGATCATACGGTATATCACTGTCAATACCCAAGCTTTAATTTTGATGTACTATTATGTAAACAAATATTTTACGTCTTTTATATTAAACGAGGTAAAAGACAGCGGAGTTTCCCGAAAATATCGGTAAATTTTCCGCGGGGAAAACGTGTCGATGTGGCAACTTCGGAGCGCTTTCCCATCTTCACGTCGTAAACGGTAATTTATATACTTGAGGGTTTTGCTTACATAGCCGTAAAAATTTATTTTATGGTAGTTTAAGCGGTTCTTAAAGGCGCGCTACTTTATACTGAATCAGTTTAGCTGTTTAGGGTTATTGTGGTCCCGTTTTCGCCCTTTTCCACCGTTTGTACTTTTCTTTCTTCTCTTGATTTTTCATTATTTGTTGATTATTAAAGTTCTTTTGAGTTATTAGTGTAATCTATACTAATATACAAAATCATTAAGTGACTGACTCACTGATTAATCACGATCCTGCTCAAACCACTCAACGTCAGAAGCTCAATTTTGGCTTATAGGTTGATTCTAGGGTGTAGAGCTTCAATAAGAAGGGATTTTTCGAAATTCCAGTTCGAAAGGGGTGAAACCACCCCTCAAATATTACAATATTTTTTATTTAAAAAACGGTTCCGAAAAAACGCTTAAACACGTATATTTTATTTTGTTTTTTTACATATTTTAATTTTTTTTAAAAACGTATAGAGGGTGTTTCGAAAAATCTGGTCATTGATTAATCACTATACTGCTTAAAGCGTTTGACGTTTAAAGCTGATTTGAAAAACGGATTGACTTTAGAGTGTAGAGGTTTGATGAGAAGGGATTTTTCGAAACTCGAATTCTAAGGGGGTGAAATCACCCCTCAAATATTAGAATATTTTTTATTTAAAAACCGGTGAGTTTCTCGGAAAAACTCTTAAGCACGTATATTTTATTTTGTAGTTTTACATATTCAGAGATTTTTTAAAAATTTATACAGAGTGTTTCAGAAAATATGACCATTGAGTAATCACGATTCTGCTTAAACTGCTTGACGTTTAAACCTGATTTTTGGCAGACGGATTGACTGTGGAGTGTAGAGGTTCGATAAGGAGGGGTTTCTCGAATCTCAAATTCCAAGAGGGTGAAGACGCCCCTTAAATATTACAATATTTGTTATTTAAAAAACGGTTAATCTTTCGGGAAAACGCTTGGACACGCATAATTTATTTTGTTTTTTAACATATTTTGAAATTTTTTAAAATCATACAGGGTGTTCCAAAAAGCTGGACAATTGATTAACCACGATTCTGCTCCAGTTTGTATTGTATGGTTGTATGTATGTAAATTCTTGCTTTGCTTTATTACCACCATTATAAATGATTAATTCGACGCGAACGAAGTCGCGGGTACACGCTAGTTAATTAATAAATTAGTGTGTTATTCTCTTTTTCTTGTGTTTTCTTCAAGAGTTCCTTAAGAACAATAAATTGTTATGATGAAGACCAGAAGGGAGGAGTGAAATGCTATCCATGTATTCATGCATGGTAGACAATCCTTGAGAGTTCTGTTTGACAATTTATTGAAATTTTGTGAGTCTGTACTGAGTTTATTTTATGTTATTTATTATTTATAGTAGTTGTTTGCAGGTAGTAAATTTAGAAGGAAATTTTTTGTGGCAAAACTTAAATTAACAGTGACACTATTGCGATTTATCAAAAATACTGTAAAAAAGTTCTGAAACTTCCATAAATAAATTAGTAGATTGTTATTAATAAATCACAAAAATTCCACTAATAATAACACACATCAAAATTAATTTTAATGCTCTAAAAAAAACAAAATAAAATCTGTTCATCACTCTATCGCCTACCGAAATAATTTTCAGAACATCCCCGATCGCAGCACCACCTAGCGGAGAGCTATCAAACCTCCACCAGGGGTTGTAGTTCAACCGCTTCACATTCAGAGGGCGCCACGTGAGAGAACAAGGATCGATATACAAGGACGGACATATTTCGGTGGCTTTTTTGATTAATTTCTAAGCCGGCTGGAAATAATGAATTTATCGGTGTTGACTCACACAGAAGAAGGACGAGAGAAGAATGAAGAACTGGTTTTTGAATCGAATTCAGCTTCTTTTGCAAGTCTAATGCAACGCGGAGTTTATTAATTGAATGAGCAGGAAAGGGAACAAATAAATTTTTGAAATACGATGCTGAAATAAATCATGTAAATATTAATATTTATTGCTGATCTTAGTTTGAGTTATTGTTTCGATTGTGGTGCTAAATTAAATTATTAATTAGATTAAAAAATCTGGTATAAATATTCATATTCATACTTCTTATAATATCTGAATCTTTATCTGTCTATTAATTACATTATTTTTTCTGTTGTGTCTATCTTCTAGTTACTTCCTATACAAGGTGATTACATTAAAAAAGGTTTTTCCTATATGCAGGGTAAAAAAAATTCTAAAAAAGCTCAATATCAGGTTTAATCAGGTTTGAGATTTTCAAAACAGTTTGAGAAAAATATTTTGTCAATATACATGTTGATTACTATATTTTTAAACTAATATTTTATATTTTTAAATACACTGCTATACCAGGTGTTTCTCAAAAGTGGTTCACCCTTATAACTTTTTATATTTTCAGATAAAAAAACGAGATTGGGTATGTTAGTCTATGACATAAATTATGATTGATTGACGTATTCAATTGTTTTCGGTCACTTCCTGTTTCACAGGAAATGACTACAATTTTTGATTTTGAAATGAAACCCTCGGTATATTTCTACTTTATTCGAGAGACAGCGACACTGTGAATACATTGACATATAAGATGTCAAATTTGGACATCTTCGCTTAAAAAATCGTATTTTAAATTTCTATCTAGAGTACCAGTGTCATAAAAACACTCATTTGTAACCAAGGAGCCTTGGAAAAATAGATTTGATCGTCTAATGTTTTTCGTGTCTTGTCTTGGCCGGTTAAAACATGCCCAAATCGTATTTTTAATCATATCTCAATTTTTGTAAACAATTTGTTGCCATACACTTGGTGTTTCGAGTCAAATTGTCGTTATGAACTTCATATTACAAGTTCAAATAAACCATATGCGAAAATGTCAAAACGAGTGTAATTTTCTATAAAATAAAGTAAAAATATACCGAGGGTGCCATTTATAAATGAAAAATTGTAGCGGAAATCATTGAGTGAAACAGGAAGTAACAGAAAACAACAGAATAGTAGGAAAATACTTATTCCTACTTATATTATTGTAGCTTGCTATCATTAAGTAAATTCATTTTTAATAATGTTAATAATACACTTTTATACCATTTTATATTACTAATTATTTGAATAACTCCAACCCAAGTATGCTGTTGTTTTTTTATTATAATATGCATACCATAACCTCATAAATAATGACAAACACTCGGTTATATCGTAAAGGGCAAGTAAATAACATCTAGGGCTTGACCTCACCAAAATTATCACCGATTTTCATTTCACAGCAGTCTTCGACGCCGTTTTTTTCTTCAATCGTATTGTATAATAAAAAATATTTTCCATCCCAAAATTATTTCTTGTTCAGCTGACCTATGCTACCAGACCCTCACTCCCGCCCATGACCTTTTCTCCCTGTAAAGTTCACCGGTTTGTGACGCAGCATATTTTTGCCCTTCCCCCCCTTGAGTCGACCCCCTTTCACTCGGCTGCCCTTTTTGGAAAAGTCGCCATTTTCAGCCCTTGCAAAGGACGACGAAGCTTTTAGGTCCATTGGGCACGGGAAAACAAACGTGATCGATGGTTCTAACCACCCCCTCCCCGCCTTCTAGCGAGGCAACGTAATTTCTTGGCCGTACAGTTTTCCGAGAAAGTCGAACACTGTTCGGGAAAGGAAAATTGGACGGGTATTTCCACGGTGACAAGCAGGACAAGTCGGTCAAGCTTAGAATGATTTTTTCCTTTTTTCTTTTCTTATTCACTAAATATATTGGAAGATTGAGTAAAAAATAAATGAGATATCGGAAATTTTTATTATTTTTAAGGAATCGACAAGAAGGGAAATGTTCGCTGATATAAGTCATAAAAATTAACTGGAAAAAATCTAGGTACATATTTCCTTACTGAAAATAAAAATCTAAAGAATAAAAAATATATTTTTTCCATAGCAACTGTTAAAATTGCCTTATATCTATCAAAAATAGTAGATAAAATAGTACTTTAAGCCTCAATGGTAGATTAAATGATATTTTAACAGCGAGTATAGGTTAAACCATAGATTTAGGAAGAACAGATATCACATTGTGCATTTTAACCCGATCAAACAATCGGAGGTTGACTACGTACTGTAAAAACCAACTGAGATAGAGAAGGCAACATTGCCACGTCTCAAATTTGCGCCTATCTACTTAGTTTGATTTGCAGAAAAGGTGACTTTAAAACCTTCACCGGATATCAATAAATCTCAATTTCTTAATTAAATTAATAGTTTATTTTTA